ACATTTATGGCTATTTTTCCATTCATCAATTGATCAGCGTTTATTTTGGGCCATAGCAGTTGGGCGGTTATTAATCGTTTCCTCACTCATGCCTAAAGATCAAAACCGTTAAGCAAATTTGAACTTTGAACGATATGTATGTCCATATATAACTTTCGCAGCAACTGCTCAGTGCGTCAAAGTCGAAAGGCGCAACACCCGTGAGATTGGTCCAGCTGAGCCTTGACAGCCATATGGCTGATTACAAAGCTGATCGCAAAGAAATCGAGGCCTGGTTAAAGGACCTCGATGCATGCATTGAAGAGATGCGGGTGGACGCTCTCAACCGAAGGTGTCGTGTTTCTGTAGCCGAAGTAGAGGCTTACGCTCTCCATCTCAGCCGACTTAGTCAACGCCTTGCCTCCTTCAAAGGTATGTTTTAGGGGCGGAAATAACTACCAAAAAATCAACCTAATAAACTAGGTATCAGTGATTTTCTGAGTTCCCCTTTACCACGCAACTCGACTGCGACAAACAGGTTATAAATAGTTCATCAAAATAATTGCCCTACACTCTACTTGCTGGATCTACCCCAATGCATTAGGTGAATTTCTGATGTAAATTTGGCCAAAAAAGGTACTTTAATTATAATGTCTTTCTCTTCTATGCCCTGATACAGGCATTAGGCAGGGGAGCTGCAAAACGGTCGGCTGGTGTTTTCACTAGGTTCTTTTGTGGATGTTTTAGCCTCTTTTGTTGTCGCCTTTTGAGCAGAACTTTTCACAGAGACTATGATGATTCAATGTAAAGTTGCGTATCGTAAGGCAAAGATTGTCAACCGAAAGGGTACCATCATTAATCGCTCATTTACGGCGTTTATCGTAGGCAATGACTGAATTGCAATTTCTTTTAAGTGTTTGGATTTTTGTAATGATTTCACAATTAGAGTAAGATCATGTTAAGCTTTTACTCTTATTGTCCAGTATAATGTTATCATATGCTTATTCTAATTCAATCTTATTATAATCGAGGTTGTCTCGAAAAAATCTGTTTTTGACATTTTTTGGGATTCGTCACTTAAAGTAGTTTGAATTTTGTATTTGTTTAGCTTCAGTTTGCCAAATAACTGGAAAAGTTCTAATTAGGTAGTGTCGTGCCTTAAGTGAATCATTTCAGATGGCTGTACTATGCCTTAATCCACGTTTACTTCCACTTTTTGAGTTCACATTCTCCAACCAGTTAAGCAATTTACTAATTTTAATATTTATCACAAGTACTTAGCTTTACTTTTTAGGTCATATTCCTGAAATATGCAATGCTTTGAACCTCCTGACCCTTGTGAACGAAGCAGAAGTGAAAGTTCAAAATGAGTTAGTTTATCTATGTCTTCACATTTTTTTGCAATAATACTGAAGTATTCATTTTTTGTTTGCTATTTCAGACTTTTGCTAGACGAGCAAAAGCGAATTGATGTAACCCTATCCACTTGCAAACAACTTACTTGTACTCTCTTCACCCTCAAAAGGTATGCCTGTTTCGAAACAACCTATTATTTCCTCCCTTTCGCAACGGTTGTTTTTCTCTCGCTAAGGCTTGCGGCTGTTCAGGAAAATGGCATTAGTGTCAATATCCCAACATTTCGAACAATTCGAGATCCGCGACCTGAAGATAAGAAGCTTTATCTTCAGCAAATTTCCAAAATCGTCCCCAACCACGAGGCCAGAATGCTTGGTCTGGCGGTATGTTTAACACTTGCAGATAGCTATAACTTCCTTTTTTCAAGCGATTTGACAACGAATGAATGTCACATGCATTTATTTTAAAACAGAAAGCGTGCCAGTGCTAAGGGTTCGATTGTGTGAGAAGTGGATGAATGTAAATGCCTTATGTTTATGCATTTCAGTTATGGCTATTGTAAGTGAATACATGAAAAAATAAGTGCAACTTCGTGCTGACATTTTTAAAGTGAGCTTCCCATAAAAAACTGCCTTGGCAACTGGGGTAGCTATCTTAGCCTTTATTTTGGTGCAAAAGTTTCAAAGTCGAACTCTTATATAGATCAGTGACTTCATTGCGGCCAGCTTGACCCTTTTCATCCTAGTCTTTTGAGCTTTTGAATAAATATAAATCCTAACACACGTAATGTGCTAGATAACAAAATCAACCAAGCAATCATTGCTTGTGAATGCAGTTAGTCGCTTGGGCATTTCAGCAATACGAAAATATTTTGCGTATATTGTTGTACAGCTGCAAACAAGTCGAAATTATTCATCTGAAAGCTTAGAGTGTTAGGTGAACATTGTATTTGGCATAAGATTCGGTCACGAGTGTTTATCTAAAAAATGACAGATGATAGGTCATGCTGTTCAAAGTGGCAACACAGCATTTCCACTTTTATGGAAAGTTGTCACGCATACCTTAAGAGTTTTGGAATAACGCACATTCGCAGAAAAAAATGGCGATCTTACTGCCCAATATGTTTTAGATATTTCATTTCCTGTGCGCCGGTTACTTTCAGTAGAATAATTACACACTTCCCATACGTTTTTATCCATATTGGGGTGATGATAAATGTGCATATATGATAAGCACGTCACGATTGCCATCGTAGCTAGAATTCCAAAAAATATCCGCTTTAAGACGATCCGTTGGAACACATCACATGTTACTTTCCTCACCAATATGACAAATAGTGGCTGTAGTTATTTAGCTTTGTAATCAGTCAAGGTAATGTACCCGACTAAAAGGATCCTTCAGCGTCGGTTTGCTTTTTATTCAGTTCCCGGATTAATAAATTACATCGCTTAATAAATATGGACTTCCAATAATCCTAACCGATATGGCTTACTCCGACAGTGATATCAATGCCTTAAATATATCAACTTTATTCGTTTTAAAATGCTTTTTCCATTTACTTGAAATCACTGCAAATTTTAGCGTTATGATTAAGCTTTAACCTGTGAGTGGGCAAAATTGTGAATATAAATAGTCATTTACCGTAAAAAATGCTCTTTTACATTGCTTGTAAAACTTGAGCGCTCCAAATCGCTTTTTTTTGCTAAAATGATCAGCGCTAAAAGTTTGCTCGCAACAAACTCGATTGTGAACTAAAGTGGACTTTTGTACGTTGCTTTAAGCTTACCAGGAATATTTTCGCTTTCAACGCTTTTTCTGTCAACGGTAAAAATGCGCTTTTCAGGAAAAAGCAGTTCTAAATTTTGTGGCTGCATGTTTGTTTCCCTTTTAAATACTGGACTCAGATAAAATGCAAGATCACTGAGTTTACTTATATTCAACATGCAAATGACAACCCTCTTAATGGCACAAAATTAATTCAGATTTCCATGATGATAGCATTTTGTCTTATCCATTGACTACTTTACAATAACTTGCATTCTGAATAAGTTAGGTGCTACAAAAAAATCAGCATTAATTCTTGTAAGCTAACATCTCATTCAACTCCTATGCGACTTCCATCACTAATGTCCCTGCGGACGATTTTCCAGCGTCATGAAAAAACTCGGGAACGTCGAAAAAGGATGCTCTCCCTTCACGAGTCAGTATACCTTGAAAGGGCTATGGAACAGTCGGAGAGCAATCTGCAAGAGATTCTACAGCGTCTGAACGAGCTAAGCCTGGACCTTCTCTCTTCAAGTCCGGAGCAGTCGGAGGAGGAGGGCCCGAATCAAGCGCCTTCTTTCACTTCAACGCCCTCATCCTTATCCCGGATCTGCCCCATTCATCAGGCTGGCGTCAAGGCAGCTGAGACTTGTTGCAATCACTGCGAAGTGATAAATTCAGTCAGTAAATTATTTTCACTTTCTTGCGCTACTACTTGGATTGCAGTTTCACCAACTAATCATTGCACGAACCACTTTGGTCTCCATTTTTGTAATCTAAAGCAGGCGATTCAAAGGATTCACCCAATCATTTTTAATCAGTTATTTCCTAGTTAATGCAGCACTTATTAAAGTGCTGTATGCAAAACTAACCAAAAAATAATGCGACTGTAAATACATATTTGGCCGCTAAAATTCTTCAGTAGAAACAGTTTTAAAAATGTACTATGTACAATGTGACAACATCCATGTGCATCCATGTTGAGAATTTTAAATGTGAACGGCATGTAAAAGGCTCAGAGGAGCCATAGTTGAAGAGTTATGGCTGCAAACAGAAGCCGGGACCGAAATGAAAATTTACATGAAAGTGATTAAGAAACATGAATATGGTTAATCGTTGACTGATCTGGAAGTCAGTTCGTTGTTGTTAAGTACAATATGTCTGACGAGAACGTGTGGAGGTAGTTTAAAAGCAGTTCTTGAAACCTCAAGAAATTGCTTTTCAAAACAGCTTTGAGCGCTTCAAGTAAAACTACGGATTTGTTGGTCTGTTTGCATTAACAAGATTAAAATAACACAATCGCGTAACAAGCTGAAAGTGCATATAGCTGATGACGCAATGGCCTTACCATGTCCCCAAGAATACGATGAATAGCTAAATTTATCATTTGAATACCGACCAATTGGACATTGAGGAATTAAAGCAGCCATTTTAAGGCCTAGAAGGGCACATTTGCTCACAACCTTCCAACATATGAGGTTCGCGGCTGAGAAGCTGGAAGATTACTGTTCGGAGAAAGCCCTTTCTGTAAAACAGACGACAAGATAGGTTGTCTGAGAGCTCACTTGCAGCTGTGTCTGCACTGCAATCCCATGAGAACCTTTTGATCCGACTAGAAGCTCAAGTGCCTCGTGTGCTTTATCAGAGGCACTCAAAGTCAGAGTAAGCGTTTTCACAAACCCTGGGGTAACCTGGAGCAGTATTCCATGCGAAGACTTTTGGAAGTTTAGGTTTTCCCAAATTTTAAGGAAGTTTTCAAGGAAGCGCCTATAATCCACTTATTGTAGCTTGGAGAAGTTGTGATTTTACATTAACTTCCTTATTTTTCAAAATCCATGAAAGGGTCCGTGTCTGGCCGTGACAGTCCCCCAATATTTATACATTCAAAAATCACGCATGAATGGTTTTTATCCGATGCTTAATTAATCCCACGGGTAAAGACATGGTACTGTAGTTCACATTGAAGAGGTAGTGTTTTGGGATTCTAAAATATTTTGCAGTACGAAATTAGCAAAAGGCTAATAGCAGAGTTTCTACAAAGCCAGTATGCATGAAGTACAACTCTTCAAAATTTACACTGCTTTCTTCTGTGTTCTTGACTAACTTCCCGATTGAGATACATATTAGTATCAGTGAGTAGTCTGTTTGGGAGAGAAATCCAACAAGTGGCGAGACAATTTCGGTAAATCAAATACGTAGTGGGGAAGACTTAAATTCCAACGAGGTCCTGTATGAGATTTTCAACATAAACGTTTACAAGGTAAAGCACTGAGCAACAATTTCGATATGAATACTGACGTTTAATTTCTTACATGCCTCGATTGATGTGTCTGGTTAGTTAGTTAGATATGCACTTGATGGTTAGTTAACTCATTTTTACAAACCGTAGCTAAGATCTGGAAAGTCGTGTAGAGGCAGTGGCGATGGTGAGAGCTCGACATCTCCATCGTCAGCCTCATCGGAGCAAAACGTAGTTGGCGCGCAGTTACCTCTGTCGGCACCACCGCTACCGCCTTCTTTACCACAGGCGCCCCGGGGCCCTCGGCGAGCCCACGTGGTGTTCTCGCGCACCGTGTTGGTAGACGCGGGTCGCGAGACCACGCGGCTTAACTGTCCCTCCGACTTGGATGACGACCACCTCGACGACGCCGGCGACACCGGCAGCGAGGCAGAGGAGCCACAGCTCTGGCGTCGGGAGCGCCTCCACCGTGGCAACCGTGTAGTTGATATCCATCCCGGCCTACCGCGCAACGAATACGTCATATGCGACGGACGCTGCGGTGCTTCCAGCTGTGCTCAGGGCTCCTGTCTCGCCAGAGTATGTTTCATTCCAGTCAAACTCGCAATCCACTTTATGCAACTACTCACGATTCAATGATCCAAAACGCGTTAGTCACGAGACAATCACTATTTTTGCTGTATGAGTCTTCTAACATGACTCTGCTTGGAAGGGATCGCCTGTTAGTTTTAGTATTCCCATAATTCTCCACTAAGACTATCCTTTTGTAATGGATTTGAAAGGATTATGTTTACATGTCTTTTTTCTAAAAAAAAATTTCAAGAGTGAACGAAGTAGTGTTCCCAGTATGGGAAAACCATTTAAAAACGTTCCTTTTTAATCTGCACAAATTCACTTGATTCCGAATCATATTTTTGAATAGCTTTGTAAACTTTTCAAACGGATATCAAAGATAAAATTCATGGTTCAAATAAATATTATTTTGAAAACACGTTAAACAATCATTTGGATTGGTGCATTAAAAACTTTTGGAAATTTTAACGCTTTTTTGTTACGATTCACAAAATGTATGAAGTTATTAGACAATGGTGGAATTTGGTAAATCTTGTACTGCTAACTATTCATTAATGGAATATCGTTTTAGCAAGTCAATTTTCGGTTAGGCTTGAAAACACTTTGACCGAAAACTCTTGAATTTATAACTGCCAGTAGATTAGGCAAAATCACCGTGCCTTTTTGGCATGAATGCAATCGCCATCTACCTACCGTCACGTAACCAGTACTTTATTCCTACCCACAGCATCTCTGGAAAACGATTACGTCAAACTTAAGCCATGTCCCATCTGTTATGTTTTTGGTAGAATTTGTTTTCGCAATTGATTTGTGTAGGAAAAATCTTGTTTATCAAAGGCTGCCATGCTTACTGTCAATCTTCGTAAACAAAGCTTTTTTCATCGAATGTAATATTTTGCTAACGCTCCGACTTGACGATTTCCTGGAGTTAAATCTCGAGCCTTTTTGCCTTAAGCAAAAGGGGTCAACCGGATCTGTGCTCAAAACCACGACGGCGTACGGTTCAAGTCCGAACGATAGCAATCCGGTTGGGAGTCAATCCGCCTCCGCCAGTGACTTTGATTCGAAGTCAGTAGACAGTGAGGAGAGTGAAAAACAACCGGCTGAACCGACCTCCGTTCACGAAATGCGTACCCACCACCAGTGCTGCCGTTTGAACAATCCAGGCAACCTCCCTTCAACAAATTAACCACCAAACACTCCACTTGTACATAGCTGTCTGCTTATGCTGCCATTTAATGCTCATCTGTGATACTCAACCGAACAATTTTCATACGGAGAGTTTCGGTAGAGTAATCGAGTACGTAATGAGCGAGGAATGCGCACTTCTGTTGGTTTAACTTTTAAAACCTTTCGGTCACCAAGCAGCCTACCTAATGCCTGCGAGTTGAAATACGTAAATCATGGGTCAAATAAATGCGCACGTTTACTGGTGCGTTCGTCTAGACTGGAATTCCCCGTCTTTTCCAAATCAGCGATCACCTCAGTTGTTTTGTGCTAATTTGATCGGAACCTGTGTATGCAAAGGCAGCTCATGAGATTGTTGCCTGCACAATCGGTTCACTAGAACCTCAGCTACGTTACAGAATTAAAGCCGCCTGCGCTAACCAATTAGAAACGAAAATGCACCCGAAAACGAAATGCACGCTTTACCGTAACTTCACAAAATATTTGAATCCACGCCTTTTCTCGTGGTTTTGTAATTGGGTTCTCATCACTCAGACTGATTATCGTGGCCATCGCCTGTCACCTCTTTAGGCAACCTGTTAAAAAAACCACAAGCATTGCATAAAGTACATAGGAGGCAATTTATGCATAGTGTAGGGAAAACTGCCCGTCCAAAATTCCCCGATTCAATTTGTTAAAACACTCCAGTCGTGAGGTGACAATCTGGATGTGCGTGGCCGTAAGATTGTCGAGCGATTTAGAGCAACGGCCAAAATTTGATTCAACGACACAACCATCCTGTTTTGTGATTTAATCCTGCTTTGACCCTCATTTGCAAACACGACCAGCAGGTTTTACGAAGCTGCGCCCATAATCTGACTTTCTAGGCCCTATCAGAATAAGCGCAGACACCCAAAGAAATGTTCATTATGCAATCCTACAGTATGACAAGTACCTCACATTTTAAAAAATGAACAACTGCGACAGTGAAATAAAACCCCGATGGATGAAAGGGTTTCTCACCTAACTAACTAAAAGGTCAACTAAAAGAAACATTAAGATCAAGCTAAATAATCCTCTCGAACTCTGAAGAAGTGCGTTTGGAGTGACACACCATAGTTACTTGACTAGTTCCCATTTCGAAAAGACTGTCAATATGATTGAAATTTTTCTTTTGTAGTACACTCACCTTTCCACAGTGCGGACAATCAAGCGTGACTTGCTCAAATCTCTAATATACACAAGCAATATTAATGAGCCCCGTAATTTAAGAGTACATTTCCTTCCGCACGACTGCGGCAGTTATTGTGCTTCCAAGGATTGTTCTTTGCGTCTCCTTCCTGGAATGCCAATGGGGCAGATTCTGTGGCATACGAAACTCGTAGTCAAAGACACCCTGGTTGGCTGCGCATATTCTAGCATACACCTCACAGAGATCACGAAACTCCAAGTTACTTAACTGAAATAGCAAAAACAGTGCATTTGGTAAGACAACGTTCAATTGAATGTGGAATGACGGCATAATTATGCTTTGATGGGTAGATGAGGATAGAACGTAATGTTGTGCAAAACGCTTCATAAGATTTCGTGTTTTTGAGAAATATTTGAAACCTCAAAAAATCATCATGCTTCATTTTTGTTTTCAGCATTATGCAAATAAAGTAACCCAACTTCACAAAACGCCAAGATGTTAGATTATTTTAACGCGTGAAAACGGCCTTTGCATAAGACTGTAAATACTGAGAATCATGCTGACTTCAAAGTTGTGCGAAAGATTTTCAGATTTCAGTACAATTTTGGAGACACCCATTTAGAGAACAGTTTGGCAAAGCATGGATGAAACACAATTTGTTACATATTCCAATCACGCACTCGTGGAGGGTAACCGAGACTCCAATTTCATAGTGCAGTTGTAGGAATACGCCAACTATTGCGTAAAAAACATCACCTCAAGCATAACACCATCATATTAAAGGTTGCCCTATGAGAGCCTGAGCTGTAGTGAAGGTTTTTCGACAATAAACACGACACTATTGCCTAAGTGATATGCCAATCGCACCCGCTGGTTATCAAAGAAACGCTTTTTCATCATTCACATTGAATTAAGGGTAATGGAGTTCAGAACTCTGGTGTATGAACCGCGCGAACAAGTGGCAAAGTTGGAGATATTCTTCTGTTAAGAAATATATTTGGCAGCAAGAAGCACTCTACGGCAGTGAAATGTGTACTACAAACCACTTGTTTTATTGAATCATTTGTGTGCGGTCTACTTTGAGGCAGCGCCTTCTATCGCGCTTTCAATCAGCATACTTTGTGTTAAACCAGAACCATTTATGCACATTTTTACCCCTTTAAGAATACCTGACAAAAATTATTCCGATTTTGTTATATTCCTATATTGCCTTAATTTTTTTCCAAACTACAAGGATCCTGCATAAAGCGGAAAGGTACAAAATAATTAACAATTCCACTTGGATGCGCATGGATCCACTGATCGGTTACATTTAGATAGCAAAAGAACATCACCAACAACACCGCCCATGATATGGGTCAAAATTTAAAAAAATGGTGAAGTGAATACGGATCAGAACTTATCCATATAAATGTTTTGACATCCAAGAGCAAATAGGGGAAAAGCTCCTAGTAATCCGTGTACTTTGAACGAGGTCACAATTGGAGTATATCGGAAACCAGTTCAATGTAAAGGCAAAAAAATTGAAATCAGAGAACGCTCTTTAGGAGTAATTGCCGCGTACTGGTAAACGTTGTGGCTTTACTGTCATCAAATAAGCATTGAACAAACCGTCTTTTATGTTTGTGATAATCTTGTCCCAACTATGCACATTTTCGTCGCTATAGCCGCTATGGTACGGCGGGCTCATTGCAAAATCCAGCACCCTGGATTATACACCAAACGATAATGCCATCCACAACATTACTCGTGATAAGCAAACGACATCGGGCTAAGACTCCATAAATGAGTCCCTTAATGACGCCCATATTATGTGATGAATACGTGCCACGTCTATCATTGTCTCTTTGTACGCACAAGCAACTCAACGTTTTTAGGCAATATTTTGCTACCAGTTAAAAATGGAATCCTCTCACGTCTTTGCTATCATTCCAAATAAGTTACTAACAAATAAAACCCGCAATTTACTTTAAGTAAACAATCTCATAGACCGAATACAGGGATAACAAAATTAAAATAATGAACACCTCGTTCCAATTTGCAAACACCTTTCATATTGCCTAAGTTATGATTTCAGTGGCTCTCAAGGAGAAGGTAGCACATTTAGTGTTCATTTCATTGATAATGGCTATTTCACTGGCGCACAAATTAGAAAGCGCATTGAGTTTAGCTGCTGGCACAACAGTCCGGTCGGCCTTCAAGATCACCTAAGTAGTCGGGTATTTACTAGCACAAATTAATGATCTCGGCAGATTAATAACAGTACCATTATCAAATCACCTGGATGGGACGCTTCATTGGTTGCACTGCAGCCTCTTTGAACAGCTGAATAACGAGATCTGGTCGCTCCGGAGGAAAGAGACTTTCCAGACACCTAACAATTAGTTTTTGTCTAAAATTAAAAGGAGCGTACCCAGGTGTGATCAAGTGTCGATGAGCCGAAAGCTATGCATCATGCAATCTTGATGTCAACTGAACTAGTATTAACAAATGAAGAATACCTTCCAAGTATTTTGAGAAATGAATATACAACCATATTTAATCTGGCAGGAAAGCGGCCTATATCTAGAATATGAAGAAGGTGAGCGTCTACAACAAGTCAAAAGCAACATTAACTGATGCATCGGAATGAAGATTTCTTAGGACTGAGGAGCACTAGCTTTGCTCCCTATATTGCACATGACAGGAATACGCATTGTTGAAAGTATTTGCCAATAAACTCGGTACTAACTAATCTACAAAATTACTTTATCAAGCAATAAATTTTAATCTTTTCAAGTCGATAGCTATGACGTCCTCCAAAGCTAAGAACTTGGATTCACAGCACCTTAAGAACGGTGTTTAACATCTTTCGCATACTTTTTTTCCAAATTCGCAGGCGAATGTAAGTGCTCTTTTGCGACACTTGCACAGAATTCCCAGGTAAGTGCGCTAAAGAGGTCGTTTTTCATCAAAATGGGAAACATCGCGCAGTTTCGCATGTATAGAAATAAAGATGTGTTTCCCCATGCCTTTACTGCTCACCACTTCACAATCGCAAAAAATCATGCGATTTAAGTACAACAGTTGGACTCAAATGGCGCATCATGGCATATAAGTATCAATTACATGTCGAAAATAGACCGTGCAGCAATAGCAACCCATTAGGTTAAGTACAAGAAGTACGCCTGGATAGTTTTATACCACAAAGAAATGCCTCGACTAAAGGTTTTTCGTGGTCATAATAGCTCATTTAACCAGTAATTCGTTACTGTGGCTCTGGATCTAGGCTTACATTAAATCACTTAGGAAATGAATGATAACTGCTATGGATAAGATGGAAACCAACCTTAATATAAACTATTGACTCTCAATCAGCACATCTAAGAAGCATAAGTACTCAAGAAGAGTTCCTTCTATCAAAAAACTTCGAGTTGAGGAAGTTCTTCCTCATCAAGCTTCTTGCACTAGCTTTTTCAGAAGCTTTCAAATATTTATGGCATTTCTCACCGCTATAAATAAACGGAAACTCCTAAGCAGCTAACAGAAGAAAAGGTTCGCCTAAGATCACTGTCGATAAATGTTGAATTCGAGCGAAATAGACGGAACTTTCTGCCCCACGACTAACCCAGTCACTGGTTTTGTCTCAAAGCCTTGATAAAAGCACAAGTCAAATAATCACGAATTCGTGTTGATCATTGCAGTGTGCTTTTGAGCCTAAAGTGATGTCAAGGAGAGAAACAGGGTGTAAAAGTACGCACCTGAACTGAAAGGCATGACGAACCAACTTTTCCACGTAGGGGAAGGGGGCAGAGATGAGTGGCCGTGGGAGGGGAATCAACCGTACTACACCCGCATCCACTTTGGGCTGGGGAACAAACGCTGAACCAGGAATCACCTTTAGGAATTGTACCTACAGCATGCGATGGGATAATTGGTTCGCCAAAATGTTACAGTATTTATAAAACCTTCAAACCGTCAGAAATTGTAATGCACCAAACAAATGACAATGATTTAATTAAGATTTTAAGGCTCAGTGGTATTTAAATCAAGCTACTCCTATAAAAAATGCGGGTTAAAACCCATTACTCTAACCGGAACTTGAATGGCGAGTTCTCATAAGCGGGTTAGGAATAGGGAATTTATCGTCTTAAATAAGATGTCACTGTATATGATCATCCGAAGAATCGTTTACAAATCTGAAAAATCGAGCCAGGAGTGGTCATATATTATTGGAACCTTTGCCTGTTCTTCATTCTATTAAATTAAAGCTACTTAATTTACATATAGTAAAACTAACCTCGCAAAATGTCTGGGCCATCACGGAGAGCCGGGAACGCTGTTCGTCCCAGACGTCGGCCACGAGGCGTTCGCAAATCTCTTTCTGAAAGGTGAGTGTCATGGGCACCCGCCCGAGACGCCAGATCTGCCGACGATTGGCAATGTTATCCAGCCACGAAATAAGCAGAGCCGTCGATGTGCTGAATGGGAGATTACCGATAATGCGAACACGCGGTGGACGCTCGACGCTGGCTTCAACCAGAGCCGTTGACACTTTGTTCACCTTTAGTGCCACAGCATCAACTCCGGAACCCCAAGTCTCGGGCTGGTGTATGCTTGTCAGAGGAAATATATCCCCGGTATTTACCTTCAGAATGTCCTATGGGGAAGACAAGCCTAAATACAGAGATAGTGTGCACAAAGTGTGATAACGATACAGTTTGAAGGGGATAGAAATCGGGGCATAGTGGATGGGAGAACATCTCTTATGAACTAGAGGAGAGCCTACTTACACCACGATAAATGTCCATCTTTACACCCATTTCAGATGCCGAGAGACGTAATTCTTCTAAAGAGGGGATAAACCTCCGGTCGAGTTCCACGACGACAAGGTGCCGAGGACGTTGACGCAGAATAGCCCGGGTGAGCCCACCGGGACCGGGACCTACCTCCAAGACGCAGGCATCACGGAGGCCGCCGGCGCAGTTCACAAGACTGTTTATAGAAGAGGGTTGGAGAAGGAAATTTTGCGACAACTGCTTCTGAGCTCTGAGATTGTAGATGCGGATTATTTCTCGCAAGGAAGGCAGTGCTGGAAGACGGGGCGTTATTGAGGCTGGCGTAACAAATACAACTAAGTCAGCGTTCTGGTCAGAGGATCCAGCTAAGGTTATTGCGCGACTATAGGGTCAGAATGCCAAAAAAATTGTCGGTAGAAAAGACAAGTAGATGAATTTGGGCACTATACGTCATAGGGAAAGTTTGTGGAATAGTTCTAAAAATTAATTGAAGCAATGGAATTAACCAACTGGAATGCGTTTTGTAAAATCAAGTTAATACCTCGTAAATGGCTGGAAAAAAACACTTCTCTATTAACAAGGGGGAGTTATCAAAGAAAACGATGTGACTAATAGTTCCACAATCAACACTCGAGACTTTGTATAAAATACCTCAAAGCGTAAGAATCTGGGTTTCATCAAGCAACTAAAGACAACTAATCATTCTAGTACGCTCTGAAATGCCGAGTAGGAACTGGGGAATCCAGAGTAGGGCTGATTTAAAAACCATTTTAGACAACAAAGTCCACAATCCACCCAAAAAGACAGCTGCAATATATCGAAAAACATGAATTATTACACCCTGCAGAATTATTTTCGTGAATAGTGCAAGAAATCGAAGGCCCAAGCATAAAAACCCTGTTAAGGGCAAAAGTGCACGCCCACCCATCCTGCTTTGAAATTAGTCCCATCGACACTACAAATCCAAACACACCACTTCATAGCCAATAATAAGACATTAGCGTTTGAGTCTCAAAACATTAACATCTGTAAGACTTACTCACCCATTTTCATTTAGAAAATCAATAGTTCTTTGTCGGCTGGTTTGGATCATTTCCACAACACAAAAAATTATACTAGATCAAAACGGTGAAGACATCAAATGTAATTCAATATCCCCAGTTATTTGTCAACTTCCTGCATGCTTCTGTTTATTAAGAAACTTGGGAAATCATTACTGATTACGCACCCCATTTGTGTCCTTGGCCAAAATTTCTTCAAATATTAGCGCATCGTAATCTGATATTGCAAACTTTGTTCATATGTTAAAAACTGGCATTTAAGAGTCTAATCTAACTTGCTTTAATTGTAATGAACACATGTAGCATCCTAGGCCTTCGTTGACATCGTGAGAAGCCACAGTAGTATGAAAGGAAATATGCTATTGGCTTATGGAAGAGCTGATAGGGCCCCGGCCTGGCCTCAAGGCCACGCTAGGACGCATAAGCGCTTACGTACGAACCAAAAAATTCCACATTTAATTGCAGTTTCCCTGGCAATGCAGATTTAATCGTTGTTTAATTATTATGTAAAGGATCTCGCTTTGATGATGCTCATGTAACGTTTCGAGACTCCCTGAAGACGAAAGAAGACAATACTCGTGCAGAATATATGTATTTAGCACGGAGAAGATGTCTGGGCTATTGGCTGGCCCAAAAGGCCAGCCCACCCAGCGAGGTACAAGAGGGCTATTTCGAAGTACAAAAAGTGGCGCCTCACCAGAATCGAGGGATAAACCACTATCGTATTACACTAAGTTATCACCCTGTAACGAATAATTGAAATCCAGCGATCTGTGGTTGCCATCTGAAGAGAATTATCTGAAGAGTGATTTAATAACGCACCACTTTTCCCGAGTAGACAGGAAGAATCAAAAATACCCACCCCCTCACAATTCTCCGAACCGACCACGAAACATCTAATTACAAGAGGTTTCACAAAGTACTAAATTGGGACTGAATTCAGTGCTATGCACTTTACGATTAAGCAAATAGTTTTGCCTCAGTCTCATCGGCCTACACCTACGTGTCTTGAGCTCTACTCGCAAAAGCTACATACAGAAACCACCCCTCCGCAAACACAGATCCAAAACAAGGTTATCAACCGTACTCTGTAATCTGGCACCGGGCAATTTCACAAGGATTACAAACTGGATTTTTATGTACAAAGGCAGTAATAGGAATTCACATAAGATTGTTTACGCGTCTAAAATCACAGCCACACTCATCGATTGTTAAGATTTCGCAGCATTATTCAGTCCATCGTCTCTTGCAAGCGATGTCTTTCAAACATTCAACAAAGAACCTCGTTTGCTACTGCGTGAACGAAATAACGACAATGGATTCAAATTCCTCCGAGTCTGTTTTCTGAGCATAGTCATTGGGAGCTTGCGCCTAGACGGTGCTGGAGACTGCTGTGTCCCTTTAAGCTGGTACGATTCCAGCGCCTTGCTCTCATTAATCTCCTCATTGCACTCACAGTTTCCACTGCGCTCAGAAATGCAACTACAAATACAGCGGATGGACGAATCGTTCAGTTTAACTTCTGCAGATCGACGGAGGCAAACTTCCGATGCTTTGGATGAATGTTCGCCGACAGAGGAAGAATGTGGTGTGTTCGAGTAGCAACCGGACGATGACTGAACATCGGAAGATGATGAACAGGTAGTGTGTTTGGCATCCTGGTCCGATGTTGAGACCTTCAATTCCACCAACTCATCATTTGTTCCTTTTTTCCCGATTTGACTTGATAAATCACTGAAAAGAAGGAATAAAAGCAAAATTACGAATTTATAACCGATTATTAACTTGAACTAACTATATCAAGTACTAAAATGCACGTCTTCATCATAAAATACCAAATTCGCATGATATCACAAAATGGAGGACCTGCATATCACAGCATCAACTCATCAACTCCCTACTTGCCTCCTAACGATCTCCGGTGTGCAACTCCGCATGAAGTCACAGGGAGGTTTTTCCTTGTGTGGTCTGGTTAGAGCTGGGGAGGAAATGGATCTTTTTATTTCGGTTCGAGTGAGATCGGACCTCGATTCGCATCGTTGCCGTGGTGAAACAGACTCAAGTAAAGAGTACGACTGTAATTTTAAAGAGTAGAATAAGAATTATTTTTAAAGAGGCAATCACTTGTAACCAATGTGAACTGTAAGACGGTTGTGGAATTTACTTACTCTTGGTAATGTCTGAGCATTCTCGACTACTTCTGCTACCTCGGACTTTGCCTCCTCTTCTGCTTTCTGCCGCCCTGACTCTATGTTGTCCTGCTGCCCTGGAAAACGGAAGAGTGTCGAGAAAAGGGGAACCCGATGAGTTCTGATACACGCTGAGCCAGGCGTATGGCTGGCGGTCTTTCCAGCTTTCTGTGCGTATATCATCGGAGTGGCGCTTTTCTCGAGCCCCGTGCACTTCAGACTGGGTCGTTTCCTCAATTTCCCCAGACGCAGGGTACTGCCGGCCGAAATGGATGGAAATTGCAATGTCCTGCGTCGCGGAAGTGTGGCCACCGGAGGTGTTGCGACAGGGGAGTGATGGAAAAGGCTAAACGCCCGATTTACATTCGTTTGTACCGAGAGACTACTCGATCTTGTCAGCCCTGAGATGACGTTAGATTGTTCGTTAAGTTTCAACATACGCAGTTGCTCCTCCAAAGCAAGCTTCTCACGATGTATTTCCTTTAACTGAAAAATAACAGAGCATATTATGTATGCATAGGACATAAGCGATAACAGCATGAGTGTGTACCAACCTTCTGTGCATTGCACTTATAGGCCTTTCGAAATGCGGCTCTATTCGTCTCCGTCGCACGTTGCTTGTGGGCTCGGTAGAGCTGACTGACGATGGCGCAATCAGTCTCCAGGCTCTGCAGCCTTTTGCTTATCAGCTCCCGCGCCTCGTCATGAGCGCAGTCACCAAGGCTGTTGGACGTTCTGGTGGAATTGTCGTCCCATTGAGACCAGTATAATGACTGATTTGCCAAAAACAAATACGTTGGGAGCGAGCATTAAAATTTCCATGAGCCAAAGTGAATCAATTTTACGACTTACATCACCCATTACGGATGAAAACGATGAGGTGAGGGAGTCTTTGCAGGTCGATTTGACACTCGCATTACCCACGGGCTTCCGAAATGTAGCACGTGCCCCATTAATCGTTGTTAGTGCACAATCCTACAAAAAGAGTTGTAAAGCGAGATTGATCCACACATAATCCTATCATTACAAAGATAAACCTTTCTAGATGAAGCAACAAATAGTCCACTTTTGATTTTGCAAATAAGCATTCTAGCAACAATACGCCACATTAACCACCTGAGAGATGGACATGGTTGTAAATTAATGCATTGGGACTCTTCAAGCAGAAACATTATGCCATAATTTGAAATATTTTGCACAAGAAAGTGAACCACACTTGCTAATATCATGGTACACAAAGAAACCCACCATCTTCTCAATCATTTCATTATTGAAATTGAGTTCCGACTGACTATTTGTAAGCAGATGAGTAAAGGGGAAGGAAGTAGTTTTCAGCTTTGGATTGGAAGCGATCACTTGGGATTGAAGTTCCGTGAAACCCTCGGGAATCACACCCGTAAGGATCTGCAACAGTAAGCAATTGAATAATCAAAATTTACAATAAAACGTCTTCCAAAACCACTTATTACACTTCATCACGGGGGAAAAACTTACATGCCAAGACCGACAAGTCCACCTAGCATTAGATTGCATTAATTCATTCACACAACATTCTGCTTTCTACTACCAGAATGTAAGGATGAGGAACATTTTCCCACGACCGTCATAAATCCATAATACTACCAAGTGACAATCGAGTGAAGTCGTGTTTTTTAAACCATTTAATGGATGGAGGCGCACAAACACTACGAGGCGCGGGGGGTGCGTCGTTTAGAGTCTAAAGTACAGCCCTTTGAGGTCAGGCAGGTCTGTGCTACGACGTGGCATGGTAACGAAAGACCTTACGTTTTCATCACGTATCCTGTCGGGGGAGCAGTGAGAGCTGTAGTGGTGACGCTTCGATTTTCGATAATCAACTTGTCGTCCGGTGCACCAGAGACTGATCGAACGCACCACACCAAACTGCCACTAAGCCAATGGGTACAATGCTCGACTGAAAGTGCTGTAGATTTACCTATTTACCCCACTTTTCATGGAGTCAACTGCTTGACTAAATTTGTGACGATGTATTTCGCGATTTACTTCACCGAACATCAAACTCTCAATTACCAGGAAGACAGTTTTGATGCATAAAATTAGTTCATTTTTATGCGGGACTTAAACGTATTGTGCAAACATGAATTTAATGACAGTTAAATTGAACACTAGATAAGCAAACAAACTGGGATGTGGAAAAGAGTGCGCTACGACCTCCTCCTCACCATCATGTTCATCAATACCCGACTAACGAGTTCATAATCAGTGGAAGCACTAAAATGAGATCCTCACTCACCCACTCCTCGCGAAACGATTCAAGCAATTGAACCTGTAGACGGATCATCTGCTCTTCAATTTCTTGCCGTTTTTTCGCTAGAGACCCCACACTTATATGAACGCCGGTGGATTCGGTTGCAGCGGTGCTGGTTGACACACTTCTCTGTGGATCGAGAGGGAACGACGAGCTGCTGGCATCTTCCAGCGTCCTCAAACTCCCAGTCTGACACTGCATGCTTTCAGCTCCCTTCATAGTGAAGTCTGAAATGGTGAGTGCATCAGGGAGTAGCCATTAGTCACGCACAAATCGCGTCCGCTGATCGCAACTCATGTGAGCGCTCGTTTGGTGATCTTACCAGCTGACTTGGTTCGAGAATGAGGTGTGACTGCGCTGCTCACTTCAAGCATGGATCTGGCTCGTACCAGCAATTGCCCTGATTGAATTATCCTCTTTGGGTGACTCCGTTTCGCTTCTTTCACGGGCGCGCAGAATGCTGATGCGATATTGGACACAGCTGCTACTTCCTCTTCGTGGACTAAGCAGCATGTGTCATTAAAGCTCCATTTTGACGGGGGCTTGTATGAGTGAACATCCCTGGAAAGTTCAGGCGATGACAGGAGTGATTTGGATGAAGCCGAATGTTGGACAAATCCAATGTCACTCGAATGGCTCCTTCCAGAAGTTTGCAGCTGTATGTAATGAAAAAGGCGTAACATTGCTAATCCACCCCAATAAACGACACTTTCGATTGTTCTCCCAAGAGAACTCGACATTTCTGCAGTAGCAGGTCTCGATATAGCCAAACATAGCTTAAACAAGGTAAATTTATCTTAATAAAGTGATGAATCAGTTAGAACAAGGAGCCCATTTTTTTTCAACTCATCCTGGGCAGTTATGAAGTAATACTTCATCGAAAAGTTATTTTCATGCAATAAGCCATAATTCAGAAAAAGCTCTGGAGAACTTACATTTGTGGACGTCTCCTGATTTCCAAATAGTCCATTATAGTCCGCAGTTATACTCGCGAGCATTTGAAGAAATGGAGATAAACACGTCTGCCGATGCCTTGCACGAAAACCACCGCGTGCGTGCTATAAACACGTAGAACTGAGCCCTCAACGCATGAGGCAGCAATCGCTCGTGTCGACCAATCACCAGGCCAATCTGCCAAAGGGGCCAGTCAGCCAATGAACAGATCCCCTTGCCAACCAATCCAAGTCACGACGTGCGCCTGCAGAAATTGAGGTCATCAGGCTGTCTACGGCACGCCTTTATTTGGCTCGTCCATTAGGTGCACTGACTCAGTCATGGACGGCAAGTCGAGGAACGTGGTTGGCCCTCTGAGTCATCATTCTGGAGTGCGCACAGGTTAAAAAAATGGGCACTCAAGGCCCACCACAGATGTGCAGGGGATTGTTTGTTATTTTTAGGTTCAGCTAATGTTGAAACTTAATTTTAGTCTCAGTTTTATTGATGGTTGCCTTGGCCGCAATGAGACATTTGCACGCCAATTCTATCTTAATCATGACGTGTAAATTCACATTCATGTTAATTCCGTCCTATTACGTGGGACCTCACGGCTTTGCTGTAAGATGATAAAAGATTAGCAATCTAGTATCTTCCGTAATTCAGCTATATCGTCCTACTTTTCCTAGGAGAGATAAACTAAATTTTTCGCTGGTGTTAACTTGGTCAATGTAATGCGCCACGTTGTTAGTGATTACCTAATGTCAATTTACTTAAAGTGATTGAAATCAGATAAGCGCTATTATCGTACTCGCCTTTTGTCCAGCTTACCTATTTACATTGCCCAATTTACGGTTATTTTTGCACAAGCTCTGTGTTTGTCTTACTTCTTACTTTCAGGACTAGTATTCATAAAGTTTGTCTCTGTCGTAAACAATTTAAATTACACTGTGCTTATGCACTTTGAAACAATAAATCTGCCATTATCATGCACTTAGTCTCTTTCTTGTTCCGAGATTCCAAATGGCTCAACCATGTTCCATTCGATCAGCACTAACTTTTCATTTTGGACTTCATATAATACGAATAGATGAGAGAGGATTTGTTAACATCTCAAGCTTGCTCCTCCTGTTCTGGTCGCTAGGGCTCCAGTTGTGAACAACTGTTATCTCGAGGCCTGGCGTATTTGAATTTGAAGATCAACTCTATCATACACCAAAATTCACCTCAGTTTTATCGCCTTTGAATAAATCATAATTGCCACGATGTGGGAAATTGTAGCGGAGTGAAATATTCTGGTAGGTACAATGGAAAATAACCATTTCGACTTGGTGCATGTGACAGAGCCGCGAACAAAGAAACATGCAATGAGCGTTTCATGCACTTGGCGTGAGGTTCAACCCTGCCGCACTAAATTTGGCTGTTCCGTAATCCCATGTGGAAAAAGGAAAGTACGCTGGCACTTGGCTCTGTGTACAGTTCCCTCCCTCACCGCCTCAACGGGATTCATTTTTAGCGTCTCCGAATTCCGCATTTCGTAGAGGCTAGAGCATGGCAGTTTCCAAAAGCCCCATATTTTGCCTTTGCTTTAGAATCAGCTCCGCATGCCCACAATGCAGTCTAGCATGACTTCATCAAGGAAAAAAATTGGAAGACCGTTTATAGTGATCCTAAAGTTCAAAACCATTATCTTATTTGCGCCAGTTTGAAAGTAGGCGATTAAAGCAAAGACCGTCTTCATGAATACAAAATGGGAAGCTAGTAGAAACATAGGTCGGTTCATATCACACATTTGTACACTACTTAACGAAAGATGTGCTTGTGCTGAGATCTGAAAACGTTCGTTAAGGGTATTTCTGATGAAAAAATAAGGTTAGGATATTTTGTCAGATCATCAAGCCATGCTATTACATTCGATTTAACATTGGTAGGTTTGCTTTCACTTCAATGTACCAATAAAGTCTGCTGCTCCTTAACGAAAACGCCAAAAAGTCCTCATTTGTACCCTTTAAAACATTTGCTTTTGTATCCTAAAGGAATGAAATAGAAGCTTATTTATTCACCTTCGAGTTACTAATTAAATGCACTTGAAATAGCATAAAACGTGAAGAACAACTATTGTACAGCAAAGCCGAACCTTGGCCAAATAAGTACCTAATCGTTTCTTGAGTGGACCAAATTACAAGAATATTGAAGTAGTTAAGTGAAGACTTGTATCCAGAGTTATTTGGATAGACGATTGTACACTGCTTGAAGTGCAGTATCTGCGATTGTGTGCGTGAATTAGCCATTATTTATTAAGTAGTAGAAAACAACATGATTTTTCATCAATGATAATTCGAGCAATGATAGTTACGATTCCTTCTCTTACGCAAAATGGCAGTAACCATTTAATCCATCCAAAGTGGCTAATGTTCAAAATAGCGGTTTCAAATCTGGGGTTACGGTGATCACGAGAAGAATGATCTTTCTAGTGTGAAGAGAATGCACGGATGCTTGAGAACGTCGATGCTTATTTCATCCATTTACTAATAAGCTGAATAAAATGCGAAAATTAGCTAAGGAGTTGATGCTGAAGTCAGTGGATGATAAATAACTTCCTCGTCTTGGCGCCGTTGGAAATACTTTGTTTATCGTGTCATGGTGAAAAATATGTAACATCGGTCGAACAGTAATTCACCATTGGCACAACTTTTGTACATTTTAGGGGATGTTGTGTGTGATTAAGTCGCGTAATAAAACATGAATGTAAAAACAAGGAGACACCTAATTACTTTGGCTGAAGTCGACGATCGCATGGCAGTTGTCTAAAAACAGTGTGACACCAAAAACACCTTCAATGAAATTCCATAGTACGAGCATTCGATACACCTCTGGTGCGCGGATATTTACCCCCCTGTTCTTCCACATGCCTCTGAAGTGCCTGACTGAAACCAGATGCACTGACTGCTGGAGGTGCAGAAAAGGTAGGAGGAAATCAGCCGTGGAGTCATCTGCCTATACTAGATCACATCTTTTTCTTCATTTTGAAGTTGTGCTTCTTACTATCCATTCGTAATAAACAACCAAAAAATGGGGCACGAGCGGGTGTGCAGAAGGGTTTTTCCAATGTTTGCCAACTCTATATCACCTTAGAATACTCCGCCAAATGGACTGCCGCCTTGACTCATTTGTTACTGAAATACATTAATTATTTTAAGACCTAGTTCAATTACACTTAGAACATTTGTACATTGATTTGTGATTATTTAAAAACAAATAAATAGGTGTTTTAACCGTTTAGTCAATTGGAGGTGGTAAAATAAATGACGTTATTCAGTCTAGTAACGTATCATGCCTCCGGGAAGGTTTTGCATTTTTTAATGCATTTCTTGGCTTCATCTAATAGATTTTTGCCTCATTGGAGTTCATGCAAAAGTATGCATAACTATGCATTCACCAAGAAGTGATAAGCCGTCTTTCTTTTTACCCTAGGGAAAAAGTCATTGTCTTCATCTGCATCTATGTTGGCACAGTCTTTGTATGTCAACATATTCCCTAGGGTACCTTAAACAACCAGCCGTATGCAAGGTTAGCTTCAAGCAATGAATGATTAATACGGTATTGCTCCGGTTTCTACAAACCTATGTCAGAAAGTTCGCTTACCAGTTGCCGAAAAGAGCTGTAGATCAAGGCAACCCAATCTGAATGCAAATGTAGTCATTTCCATTCTTCTTATCTTACGCCCGTAGCTTTATCGCAGTAGTACTCATTTTAGTTATTCATGTAAAAGAGAAGCCTTATTTGCTAATGAATAAATACCTGTGTTATTGGCCAAGTTCCACGAAGTTTCTTGCTAAACAGTGAGGAAATGTAACGGGGGTGTTTTATTCCTCTAGCCACCAAAAAAACACCAGATAGGGTAAATTCAAAGTGGCCTGATAAATACACTAAATTAATCACTGAATGAATTCAAGACTTGGCTGACTGTAAAGCGCTTGAGTAATAAAGAGGAACATTTGATAGCGGTTATTAGACGGGCGTACAGTCAGCTTCCATACCTGTGCGTGCATGCTCCAAATCGGCATCTGGTGCTTTCGGAGGCGGACTCACATGTTATTGGGTGGGATCGAGAGGGCCGTGTTGAGGCACGCCAGATGCCTCAAACGATCTCATAAATTTGTGGTTTAGAGTTCAGCATCATCACCACGACCTCTGTGCCCCTCCCTACCATCAGCATCGCTCAATCAGTGCCTTCAAGCTTTTGAGGCAATTTGGTGTGATACAAGGGCAGGAGTCGGAGCTCACTCACAGGTAATTATGTCAGCTTTTTCATAAAGCTTTAAAAGAAATTGGTGGTTTGAAGAAGCCAGTGTTTAACCTCAAATGCGCATGGGCTAAAATGTGTCCGTTATTTGTGGGAAATTGAACTTTGTCTGGGAAACGAAGAATCAAGGACCTGCCGGTAGGACTGACAAAACTTTGGCCGTGTCATTTGACCTGAATAATTCAAATTTTGTTGTGCTGTGTTCTCGATTTTAATGGTGGGTCTTTTGGAACAAATTTACATTTGAAAGCACGTGTACAATGCTGTGTGAAGGATAGATGTATACTGAAATAACTTGTACGAAGCTTAATTCGACCTAATATGAATTGTCAAAGGGACAAGAAAGCTGAATTGGAAAATGTCCATCGTAAATATCTTTTTATTATAAACATGGTTGTAAACAATTTTCTGCTTTCCCGTTTACCTTGAACGCCTCACATAGATGGTAGACATTAAAATTAGTAACTAAAAATCCCGATGTCACAGTACAGATAATGCTCAAATGGATGTTAACTACTTTATAAATCTTCTCTGGTCGAGTTCCTGACTAATGTGATGATGTTTTCTTTAAAACAGACTCTAAAATACAGGTTTTACTTGTTGTCTGGCTACATTCTCATGTTACAGCAGTGAACTTAGCTCGGAATAACGACAGCATATATTTTTCGTACCTTGCCTGGGGGTAGATATTAAATTTTGGCCATTTTTTTGTCATGTAAACCTTCTGTTGATACAAGTTAGTTTTAAAATTTGTTTGCCTTGACAACCTACCACAGGATTTAGAATAGTATAAGGAAAAGCTGTGGCAAAGAAGTTGATAATTTGTGCTTTTCCACTAATTACCTGACTTTATTGTACAAGTTGTGAACTCCAAAGTAACAGGTGTAAGTTTAAGGGATGTGCGGGGTGTTTCGCACTTTAATTTGCCAAAACGGATAGGTTATTAGTGATAACAGACGTGACTTAAGTGATCCACCATTATTTGCAACCCTAAAAGATGTAAATTGACTGGGAACTATTCTCTTTTACGCCTACACAAATAGGTGAACGAAATTATGTAGCAAAACGTCTGTCTAGGAGGCGATAGTGTCTTTAACAGCTGCTGGGAACGAGGCTTTCTTCCGTTGGACGTAAATATTGATGAACCCGGGATGGGCACAAAGAAGACATTCGGTAAGTGCTGGTTGCATGCACTTTTTAACCATTCCCCACACAGCCTAACAGCTTTTGAGGAAAACAAAAATTCTCTCGCCCTTCTTTAACTCTTGCTATGACCACAAAAGTCAGTGTTGATAATTTATAGCACCACAATCCAACTCTACATTTGCATAGTCCTTGATGCAACTGAACGGTAGGCAAATTCTATCAACTATGCATTGACAACTGCCGGAGATTGTTGCGTGGTCAATTGTAAATAAATAGATAATGTTGCAACAGGTAAGTGGGGTAAATATGGTTCACAATCAGAACCACCACATCGACGTCGGTTAAAGCCTTCTGAGGTGTTATGCATTGCTTTTTAAAGTATGTGGGTGAATATTTGGGTTTCATTCCCTAACATCGACTAGAAATTTGGCAATTTGCGAAAAATTGTGCTCTTAGTAACTTAGACAATTTCCATCAATGGTACCATTTGCGTGAGGGTCAGGGAAGTCACCCTAGAGAGCTACGTTATACTACGTTAGTCACGTAACGTTAGTTTAACTAGAGATATTCCATTTCAGTTTTATACATTAATAACAAATTCAGTTACCTGGATTGACAGCACCTGGTGCTCATTCTTTGTATGATTTGGTTAGCTATTCTCATGCTTTTATTGTTTTGCTGCCGTTGTTCAAATTGCCGTTGGCGTCATCACCAAATGACACTTGTTGTCTCCATCGTTAGCCTGCAGGGCATTGGCGTGCTCGCTTGGCTGATCACGGCTAACTGGAATAAACGTGGTTTCCCACCTAGACTTTTCGACCGCCCAATTCCGTGTTCTACTTTCGACATGCGATTAAACTAATGTGACTAATTTGCTGCCCTAGTACGTGAGACCCTACAAGCAACAGCACGCAAAGGTCACAAGAATACTCTTACTGAATGCAGTGTCTCTGATTGTTCAATGGATACTGATCAAAAGACGGCATAGGTAATATTGACTGGTCTGAATAAGGCAGCAAATCACTAAGCATTCTGTGGTGAGCATGGTTATTTCTCTAATTTTTTTTGAATATTAACTGGAGACATGTGAAGCAGAAAGTTTTAAGAATTTGCAGGAGCAGTTTGATTCTTCATACCCATGAAAGGCGTCCTGATCATAAAACCTTTTCCAAAGACAGCGGTAATGAGCAAAATGGATAGAAGAGAATAACAAGTGAGAGGATCAGGTACACCTTGGAGTGGTATACCCCGTCAGATTGTCTGGACTTCTAAATGAATCATGAGATGAACATAAAAGTGTCGAAACAGACTACTTGATCTCAATGGGCACGCTTTTAACACAAGTAAGTTGTGAATATCGACAGAAGCACTTTGTTCTAACGGAATACGCGTTATGGCAAAGGCGGATCCTGCTTTCTGTTGAGTTCATGAACGTACATTAAATGACTTATTTGAAGCCACCTTGCCATAGTACAAACTGAAATGTGCTCTTACTTAACTCTTTTCATAGCGGAACCAAATTAAGTGAAACTAGAGGAGAAATTGGTATTGGCTTTAAAGCAAATCATTTGGAGCTATTTTTGAAGTAAGTCTGTATACAGAAAAAGTATTAGCTTCTGAACAAATGCGTAAAATTAACCCGGATGTCCTACATTTGTGATTATCACGATTATAATCGCTTACACAACGCTGATCGTAAATTGGAGGGTTATACTTTCTAGAAATTAGCAGATCACGTAGAACAAATAACTAAATAACCTCCGACTTTAGTTCAATGGAAATGGGTACTGGACCACTGGATGACTTGTTTTATGCATACTACGTACATTTTAGTTGAGCCTCAACTTATCCACTCAATCACCACCACCTGTGAGAATGTCGACGCAGTTTTGTTCCCCCGGCATGAGTCACTGCGAAATCGGTAACACCGAGGTAGCTGTCCCCTTGCCTCCCTTTAAGTAAATATGGGTGTGGCTGGTGCAGTGGAAAGGCTCCACACACGTAAAACAAAATAACAGTAACTTATATTTTCTGCTGTACTGCCCCAACATGATCAACTAGAGGCTAGGCGATGAATTTTATATTATCACATCTATCAGTCGTTTTATTTGAGTAAAGCGAAGTTCTATCTTAGACTTGGTAATCACCCTTAGGACTTCAATCCCCTTGTCAAAAACGTTTCCATATATTTTTAAAATCTACCACTTATTTTGCCGCGTTTTAGCGACGAGTTTTATTTCTGTTGCAGCGGCAACTTATGTGGCATTCCGGTGTAAAGGAAGTTTCTGGAAATAACTTATGTCAACAAAACTGAAGGTTTAGTTGCTTCCGGCTTGTTTACGAAAAACGAATATACACACAATTATCACATTCGCAGCAAATATCTACAATGAGTCATCTAGCAACACGAGTTATCTCAAATTTTTCTGAGTTTTTTAGTACTTTTATCCTAATTATACCTGACCGAATTGCTCTACCCTTTTTAAATGGCGTTAATGTCAGTTATCCGCCACCTGATCTGCGGTTTAATACCAATGCTTCAAATAATACTGTATTTTTGAGGTTTTCAGCCCACCTCGGAGAGCTGTGCCAAAATATTAGGTCCATTAAGTGTCAGAGGCTCAATACCCCTACTTCGTAATTGTCACTACTTTATTCTGCGTAACTGACTGCTTAGTGCATTAAAATCCATCAGATTTTCTTGCTCACAAAACCATCATGAGTATCGTATTTCAAATTCTTTATGAAATAGGATCCCTTGGGTTTCTTTTTATATTACTTAAATTAAATATAAGCATACTAAATGCATCCTTTCATAAGATAGTGGGGAGTCCTGAAGTGAAACCTTTCACCGCTCAGGTGGGTTGAATATAGGATCATGGACAGGGATCAGAATTACTGATAGCGGCATAGTTCCAGTCCATAAGCTCCTTCACATTGAGTTTATATACACAAGAATCAAACGAAAAATTCTAGGATTGGTACATAAAACTCATTCTACACCATGGCGTGTGATCTTTGATAAAATGCCTCAATGAAAACCAGTTCAAAGGCCGTACTTTTAATGCTGTTCAAAGATCCTGATACCGTATAGACAAAACACAACCAGCCCTATGACGAGACGGCATGGGAGCCCGCCCCAACTTCCGCCCAGATACAAAGCCCAATCTTGCGCAGGACCTCAAAGCTCCCCTTTGTACGAGGTGACTTTGACTTTGGGTAAGGTCATTTTCTTGAAAATTGTGATGAAGTTAAGAGAGGGCGGGTAGACAGTGTCTGATGGGATTGGTGGGATGTGCATTGAGACCTCCAGTACAAACTCTATTGGGCTGTCACTCAGGGGGCAGTGGTGGTCCTTCTAGTGGTGACTAAACACGATGCCCATGGCAGTTTTTGACAAGTGAAGCGAATGTGAAAGTTGAACCTTCACCATTTCGGCAACATTTGAAGCAGCAAAATATCCAAAAAGTTGGCATAAAGTGTAAATTGTCACTTTTTAAAAATCTTAATCAGTGCATTGTTATTTCAATTTTTTATTAATAAAGCTGTACAATATGCCGATAGGTGCACACCTTGTCAGACTACTTAAGTGTGTAAAAGCAATTGTAAGATATTGCCCACTTTTTACTTTCGCTCCGTTCAAATGGAAGAGAAGACATAAATTTCCCTTCGCTTTTTGTTACCCTCAAATATCACTTCTCGAAACTTTACTGGTTGTCTGTTTCCTGTCCCGATGCAAGTTGTTTTTCTTCGCAAAAAACTTTTCGCTTCAGTGGAACTAAGCTAAGGCAAATAGTAAGTTTTGGTTATTGCAAATGCAGAGTTAATCATTTATCTTCGGCACTGTGTACTCTTCATGAAGTGAATTAGTTCCCAAGTCCATCGTCAGGAGAGAAGAGGGCAAAGTGGCCGCGCGTAAGTTACGAAACCCTACAGTAATCTTACGCAATTAATCTACACGACTCAATGAATTCCTCCAAGTTTTAGAAAATTTCATATAGTAGAGCCTTTTTAGGAGTAAATTTAACCCCAATCGGTTTAGCTGTTTGTTTCGGTTTGCAGACAGCCGTATATATCCAGTGAAACTGATAAAAATGGGAAACGAAGACTCACCCCGGCCTATTGAATAAAAGAAAAAAGACTGTATTCAAGAAATACATTCTTTCTACAGTTCAGTTTGGCTTACAGTATTTAAGTGTAATACAGTAATTGTTTTGAAGCATCGTTTAATCCGTTTTTACTACCCATGAGGATTAAAGGTGACTACTCACAATTACCCCAGCTGGCAAAAAGCTGTCTGGACCCAGGTGGTGAAAACACTTTTGAATGAAAATCAAAATAAACAGAAAGCAGAAGTATATTTTATCAGAAAATTGAGGTTTCACAAAGACATTAAAGCAATTTAATGGACCATTTCTTGAATTGAGAACTGTTACTAACATAGCATCCCACAAAACAACCTAAGGCTTGATGGGGCTTTTACATTTTAGCTTTTTCCAGTCCATAGTACTGGGTATTTTGTTTTAATGATAGAAAAGCGCCGAAGTCCTCTTGATCCGTTTGTACGTTATAAGAATTTCAGGACACATTTCTGAACAAAGCACTGCTTTTCACTGTTTAATGGTGCTAATAGAACAGAAGAATGCAAAATCGTTGTGGTGTGCAGGTTGTCAGCAAACCATTTAAACGTTTGTGGCTCTCTGTCGTTGCAAGTGCACGACGTCAGAGCCGCCTTCGATAATGGGTAAAGGTGACGACGCCCCTCCATCCGTGTAAATGATGGATCTTTCCCTTGGGCTAGCTGAATCCATAATTAGGTTTGCATGTGCCTATTTATTTTTCCTGTCTTTAGTCGTATAGCACCATGGATGAAAATGCCCATTGATGCTGAATGATGTGAATGAGTAGAATAATTGTCTACTTACTACGGCTCCTTCAATGCCGTAAGGAGGCCGACTGGGATTCCAGTAGACTAAATTGCCATAGGCGGACAGCAACCTTAAGCGCACAGAAGTAATGCAACACTGGTGTGCCTGTAAGTTTATTTCGGCCTACCCGCAAACCGACCCACTGCTATTGTTACTGTCATTTTTGCATTCCATAACGTATCCAAGTGGTGTATTCATGAGAACATTTACTAATGTAAAAAGTTCACAAGACACCTTTTCATAAACCGAGTCGTGAACACCAGATATGTCATTTTTTTGAAGAGATATCTTCATTTTTTTCTGATCGTGCTATTTTATTGTAAATAAAACACAGACCACAAGGGCCTTCCGGTTTTTCAGCTTTAGACAGGCAGTAGTTGCTTATACTATGCCACATTCTCGCTGGGAATTTTGAACATGGTTGCAGAGCATCTACTTATAGTCGCTGAGGAAGTCCTTAGTAGATGAGTGTAACAGAAACAGTTTACCGCAATAAGCATAGTAAATCAAGAAAATTATTTAACGAACATGTGAGCTACTCATTTCCTTCATTAGGCACAGTTTCATCCCCAATGGTAAAGCAGTATAATGTTCCATCTCAACATTAAGTCATTTAATTTTATTTGGATAAAATGAGTCCTGCACTAAGCGGTATTAAAACACTAGTCGTTTTTTCACTCGATCCTCGAGCAATAGGAAATTTGTATAAAAAAAGTGACGGATTTCCCTCTGTTAAATTTCGTCTAGGAAGCCCAACTACTGTAGGTCTATGAAAGCCCCACGGTTAATGGCAGCATAAAAGTTATTTAGCAATTTTACGATGGTACTGATGAGCATTCTTTTTAACCCCAGATCACGATTATTTGAGCCATGATGGAACCATAGTCAGAAGGAGTATTTGGAAGTCTCCTGTAATATAACGTGTTAGTGTATTCAAGGGCGTCCTAAGCGATCTTCTCCCACAACTCGGAGATTGTGTGGGTATTTGGCCCGAACTTAGTCAAGGGGCTTTCAAAGCAATGGTAGGCCTTTTCATTATGCTACACTGTATGACAATAAATGTATCTGATTTATTAGTGGACGTGAAATATGTCAGTTGTATAAAGTTATGCCTCCTCAAGATTGGAAAATTCGGATTGTTAGATGAGAACGGCTCACAAATAATTTAGCTCCAAATGTCAAATACGAAGGAATTTTACATCCTTTTGCGTATTTTTCCTTCAAATTAACTTCCAGTCCAATAGTGTAGGGTATATATCATGCACTTTTCCCGTTGTGTCAAAACAAGTCTGACGAAATTTATTTCTTTTTCGCGTTTTTTGGATTTCATCCTTCAATTTATGTAGGTACTAGCGTGATACGACTTGTAAAAGCATGATGTATTAAATTACATGTACTACAGAGAGCTGCATTAAAATCATTACGTCTTTACTAAATGAAGCGGTGATCACATTGTTGCCGTCGTCTATTTTGCAAGTCAAAACCTGCAGTGCTTCCATTTCTCCTGCGCCACGATTCAATCAGCACGCCTTTCTGTCTACGGTTAGGTAATAAAATAACAAATGCATAATTTCCTTCCTGAAGCACCAAAAACCCATCTCTTCTACGGGGACAAGTTGCAAGTGTATGAACCCATTAACGCCACTACATACAAGGATGTTGATAAATAAGAATGGTAAACAGCGTCCTATGTGTTAAAAAAACATGTAGTTTACTTGGTAATCCAGTTTTTACTATTGTTGCAAGCAAAATCACTAAGTTCACACATAATAAAGTAAATTCAATATTATCTCATCGTATCCCATGAAATGTTGTTTCCGATTATTTGTTCAAAGGAGTTCCTTCAATTTTCGCACGAAACGCTGTGCGCTAGTCGGTATAAGACAATCAGGCGTGAGCGGAAAAAACCCACTTTTTATGCGACCATACCATAGTTATTAATGTATCGACTACACTTTAGTTAGCACCGTATCTATATCCATCTCGGTTTTCCAGGTAGGCACTAGAATCCAAGGGCAGCGGCCTTAATTAACAGGGTACAGGGGTGAACGAGGCGTAATTCCCCAGACTCATCTGCTAGTACCAGAGGTAGAGCAAAAAGCTCAGTGGCAAACAGTAACCCGCTCTCCCCTTTATTTGACCAACGCGACTAACGTTTCGCAAGTTCCACCTATTGGGAAACTTTCAGACTCTCTAAAGGCCTTTATAGTTAACGGTTCTTCATGTGCAAATTTCTCACAAGTAATGACTATTGTACGCACTACTTGCTTCCCTAATTTTACAGTTTAGCTCCCGAATTGCCAGTTCGGGCCCACTTATAGGGTTTTTACTTGAGGCAAATTACCACTCTTAGTAAAACTTGTGCAACAAATTCTGAACGCAGCTGCAAGTATCTAGCTGTCTTGGCCAAACTGTCCCAAATATATTGCCCGTTGTAGTAAACTAAGCAACACTTCTAAAATGTCATTACGATCCACTTTTAGGCATTTTCAAATGGGGCTGTTTTTTATCATTGAGTTTTGTGAAACCCGTATTATTTCAGCGTACTGTTGCCAAAGCATATCTGTAACTAGATATTCTTCTGGTTTCACTCCTAACGTTGTTTTTTGAAGCCATCGGCGGTAACGGTGTCAATGTCTCCAGTGGGTGTACCAGTGCCTACTAGAGCCCATACTCCAGTTATAATGGCTTCTTTAGTAACACGTAGACGTGGCTGCATGTGAGAACGTACTTTAGAAAGAATAGTGATTATTTGGTCAGGTTTACAGTGGTTGATTATGAATTAAATGCGAATAAACGGTTAACTTTTAGTAGTTAACTTTATTAGACCTTACGTGATTTTTTCTCTTTCATGCTATACTGAGTGAAAGATTTGATGACGGGGCTTTAGTGCTGATGGTATTATTTGGAATTTGCACTGAAGCTGGTGTTATTTGATTGTAATTTTACTAACGAGGCGATGGTGAGTCCAAACGCTTTCTACTGCTACTCAGGTTGACAGGAACCGATTTACGGCCCACTATTTAGTCTGCCTTGTGAATTATGCTAATGTTCAGCCCTACTTCAGTTTGCCTTTAAATATTGAAACAGGTGAGATTTTAAGATGCAAAAAGTTGTAGGATTACCTGTACTGGTTCATTACCCATTTTTATACTTTGAGCTGCTCAATCCAGAAGACTGAGGGAAAACCGACACAGTACACCCCGCCTTATGCGTAACCTTATTAACTTGTACATTATTTGCCATTAATTTCCCTCAAATCAAGCATACATTTAATAATCAGTGGGCTTATTCCGTTGCGTAAATTCATAATGAGTGGATTCAAGTTCTATAGGTGCGTGCGATTTGATCTCGGTATATGCCCGTATTTACACTGAAAATCGCTACATTTGGTGGCCTTCTACAAAAAAAACAATGAAAATTTGACTTATATTTGAAAACTACTTCAAATTTAAGAATTTGTTATCAGTTTGCAAAGATTTCCCAAATTATACCTAAACTTGAAATACAGATCCTAAATAAGGGAAAAATCGGGCTTCTTTTGTGTCTCTTTGTATGTGGACATAAAGTTGAGTCCGGTTTTTAAATAAAATAGGTATCTTACAACAACTCCTTTCTGAACTAATCAGCACAACCTCAAAGAAGTTACACCGGTCTTACTGTACCAATAAATGGTAATTCCGAACGATCCGTTACATACATAAACAACAAGACTGCCTAGTAGACAGGCACAAACGAACGCCCAGGCTATGTTTTATGATACAAGAGGAATGTTAGATCTAATCCGTTCGCCATTTAGAATACTTCGTGAAGAAAATGGAGGTGGTTAATCCATATCTTCTCTTGTATGCAACGAGGAAATCCGCAGACGTACATTCCTGCGAGGGTGATGGCGGGTTGGGGGGTAAGGGAGATAGAGGAAGAAGAGGAGGAGGTGGGGTAGTGCGAATGCCGTTCACATTCACTTGGGTGATCTTCCGGACTGGCATTTAAGGAGGGAGCTTTGCCTGCAGGGAGGTCGGTTTTAAAAGTACCTCTTGGCCCCCAACAGCAAGCTTTTACCCGTGGTTAAAACAGTCACATTATTTGCTATTGTGTGGAAGTAAACATGACTAGTGAGTTTGGCTTCCGTAAATAAGCATTACTTTCAGGCTGGCCCGCAACAATGCAACAGTCTTGCAAAGTTCACTTCACCAATAAAACAAAATGTTACTACGGTTGAAAGGTTTAGCAAAAATGAACACACTGATCAGTTGCTAATGTAAATATCTGTGGTAATAGAGTGGTTGCCAATACGCGAGTTGACTGTCCCGATTTATTTACAAGCTTTAATCCTCGTTGAAGGGTAGTCTTGGAAATTGGTGGAGTTGCTCGGGATGCATCAATTCATTTTGAACTTCTGATTCTGATAATTGACATGTAGATGCAATTTACTTTCACCCCACTAGTATTTTTGAAGCGTCGCACTGGGCAGCTAATGCATCTGACAAATAATTGAGAAATACAACGGTCTTGCTGTAATTTATCGCAATCCATTCTTTATAACAAAACCTAAGTAACCCACAATTTAAACCATACTCAGGACTCAAAGATTACTAAAACCAGACTGTTGCAATATGGCGCTTCTGTTGCTCAAATTGGGCCTCCCCTTATTTGTAAGAAAGGTATTTTCATCAAGGAGACCTTGGAATTCGTCTACAATGAACACGTTGAATTGCTTATAGACGAATTCGAAAAGGCAAATATTCCATGCGTATAAAATAAGCAGAGGTATTCGTAGGTTGAATCGAACCGACTGATGACTCTGATTGATGGCTTAACTCTCAAGGTGTTAGATGTTTAATAAATAGTATATTCATTTCCTGCACTATTATTCATACCATAAATCCCTACACCAGTGAGGGACAGTCTTCCAACATAATTAGTACGAAACTGTAGAAAGTGAAATCTAAAAAAAATTTTGCGAAGGCATTTTAAAGTCAGGCCTATAACACAAGGTCAGCGAATATTGTCTCGGATCGCAATTACGTCAATTCGGCTGGCATTGTGCCCAATATTTTAATTTTTTACGCTGCATAATTTTGGCATGTTTAGTGTGCTGTTGAAGATAATCTTTGCTAGCTCGAATGTGTGACCAAGTCAGTCTACCTATAGAGTCTCCAGTTTTCACATTCACGAACAATCTACCCGAATAAGCGCAAAAAATGAAGTCGAATATGATTCATTCGGTTCCCGAATTAGTCACGAACGGTCCTGTTTGTGTATACTGAGATACACACGTACACACACACACCGAATGAACGCACACAGGACTTGCGGAAGCTGATGGTGTGTGCATGTAAGACTGACGACGACGCCTAATCACGCAAATCGCAGCAAACATGCATAAAAGTAGTTGACCTTTTCGCAAAAACCGGATTTTTCATTTTTCGCTGCGACGAACAGCGACATTGGTATGATTTCAGTTGTAGCTACGAAGCGAAGTCACCTTGAAGTGCTCGAAGGAAGGAATGTGCGGTGCCCACGTCGGACAGCGCATGGAGCTCGGGACCTCCCTGCTACCTGCAATGCGGGCAGACGGAACGCGTGTCCATTTTTTCTTCCTTCTAATTTTGGTGATTTGCGCATCATTCACTTCATCATTCAGCACCAAAATTCAAAAACACATATTCTTGCTAAATCACCAATCACTTTATTTGGATTTTGACACAAAGGGGTTTAAATTTTGGAGGAAAGTCAGATTACCCTTTTGAGAGAGTGGTCTGAAGCCCCCTTTGCCACTCATCGAATTTGAACAGTATCAGCAGCACATTTCCAATGCGTTTCGTGCTTAAAGCGATAAATGTGAACGATATATTTGCATTTTACCACTTTATATTACCACGTAATGTTGAAGCCATTATAATCCTTCTCCTATTAACATGAGATCGTTGAAGGCCTACCAGCTATATTGCAATACTTATGTTACGTAAATGTTCCTTTCAGAGAGGAGGCGGGCAGAAGAATAGAGCCTTGCGACTGAGGAGGAGCCAACATCCCACAATCCGGAGGAAAGTTCCGTGTCCAAATCTTCTTAAACTTGCACCCACTCTCCCCCAAGTTCTTTACGCAATAAATATGGCAAAACCAAATCAGTCTGGGCGTTCTAGGAGTGTGAGGGTCAGGGAAGAGGCGATCTACGATCAGCGTCCTACGACATCTTCTTTGATAACATGTAGAAAAGAGTTTCAAGATGAAGTTATCTTGCAAATTTAGTTCGATTACTTTTAGCCACAATCCGTGTAACGGGAAATCAAGTTCCGACACGATATCCGGTTACGCCTATTTTTAATGCAGGCTTGTGTTTTGCCATGGTGACAACTCGGATGCATCCAAACTTAGAATAATAAGGCAAACAAACTTAATATTTAAATTTTACCCAACACCTTTTACAGAGCCAAGTTATATGCGTTAAAGTTTTGTGTAAAACATCCTAATAATCTTCCTTATTTGAAACAGGCAGTAATAATCAGTTTTCTACTACTTGGTTTTGACTTGTTCCGATAGATGTCACTCCAATTGTCAATACTGCAACTATGTCCAAGTTTAGGTGTAGCTGTTAATGTTACTCTTTCTTTGGTGAAGGTGGTATTTCAAACCTTGTGTTTATTATGTTTCCTGTTCATCCCATTAGTAAGCATAGATAGGTACTTTAATAACAACCCCTCAAGGGATAGTATTCCTATTACCAACGGACCAAATTTCGACGTTTTTCGATCCATAAGCGGGAAGAGTTCATGCAAAGGCTTAGGTACACTCATTTAGCTACGCTCCTGCATTTACCCTCCGAGTTTTACCCAGCTAGCCCAACCGTAGCCCCTAATTTAAGAGGCCAGAAACTAGTTTTTGATTAAATGATGAACACAAACATTCCAGTAAGCATATTTATATCATCTTTGCAACTACTTAATACAGAACGCGACCACCAATATTCTGCGCTTAGCTTTCCATCTTTAGCGTTAGTAATCACCATTTCGGTTGACATTTTCGATCCACTTAAGATCGTAGGCACGAACTTCACCACTGTTGTTGATAGCAGCAACGCTATCAAAATGTTAATGTTTGTTATTAAAATCGTCATTTTTAGGTTTATCCAGTTTCTTAATTTATTAATGTTATCCATGGTAGCATGAATTTATTCTGGCTTATTTTCTTATTAAATTCCTCACGTAGTCTGCTAAGCAACATCCGAAGGGACACTAAATGCGTCATTTTGATTTGACTGGCTATGAAATATTATCCTTTACCCTGTACGCGATAACCATAAAGTAGCGGATACCAACGGACCATTCTCTTACATTTCATTCATTGAAATATACTTCTGGCTTCTAATCAAATTCTGCCGGTATTTAATTTGCGATGGACATTAATAGTTTATAAATAATCTTTGAACCACTTTGTTCGAAACTTGTTAGTGAGTCTTACGTCAACATTGGTCCGGCCTGACAAACGTGCCATTGCAGTCAGCAAAGTCAAGACGAACGGTTCGGGTGATTTTGCCATGTTTTGATTGAGGAAAGCGACGACAGTCGGTGGTCACGAGTTTTCTTTGTAAACAAAAAACGATAACTTAATGAAGTTAGTGATCGCCCTTCCTACAAAAATATTTATAAACAGTGTTTACGATTTACCCAAACAACAATCATGTCATTTAATGTCTGTTTTTGCAACCATTCTATAGGAGGCATTTGTGTATTTTCCATTGTCGAATATTTTCCAAAGTTTAAGGATGTGCGCCTAACACATACACATGTAGGCCCCCAAGCTAAGTGAAGCTTAGTCCGGTTATGAAAAGCAGTTGAGGTCAGAGATCAAACAGCGGTCTGAAGACGACTCTGGCAGATAAGGGGCCATTCCATTGCAATGAAATTGGGATGACAGATTTAGTTTATTTAGCTGCTGACACAATTTTGACCAAATCCAAATCATGTAAGTCTCCTGCACAATTGGGAATACTGCATTTATCCCCTGAACAAGAATGGACAATTAGGGAGTTTGATACTAATATCAACTATTTTTCCCCGTTAAATTTTTTATTTTCTCCACTTAGTTCTACGCGTGCACCACGTTACCATTTCTATGACTGATCTTTTTTTATTATTAATTATTAGTAACGTGAATCACAGTGGTCGGTTGTAAGCAAGAATATGATAAAAGTATACTGAGAAACGATAAAAGTATTGAAGTTGGTGCATTTAGCTTTGTCATATGCAAAGTTGGAATGTAGAACTAATATACGGTAGCCGAGCTCTGCAAATTGTCACTTTCCCTTTACGGAATAATAGAATTTCCTTAATAGCGCAAAGTGATGCACAAAGATGGTTTAGATAAAAGGACGCAATGCTAAAAAGCGTATTTTTAAGTAGCAGTTTTCTTCAGAACGTGTTGGAACACAATTTCTTAGTGGCACAGTTCAAAATTCGGGAGCTTCAGATATAATTTTCCACGATCTTTACATAAAACGGACAGACAAATATTCCTGTTGCATTTGCTTTCTCGCTCCAGACGGGTTACGGCAGCATAATGAGTGGGTGCCTGTTTTTCTATTTCTCTTACCCGCTCTCACCTCATGACTAATCACCACATTCAGTGTTTGTCGATTGCCAACCTCACACCAAATAAAAGGTTTTGCCTGAATCATGCCGCAACCTGGTTCCTACATAGCATTACTTAGCTGCACACTACTGCGCTGGGTCTAAAATATGCTCATGTATCATATGCTGGTCGTTCAAATAAGACCAGTCTTTCACTGCCTTCTGGTAAAGCATAAACATTGATGAGCTAAGCTGGAAAATCACACTTGCGGCTTAAATGATCTTGCTCGCGTCAGCGTAAATGATCTATTTTTCGTTCCTTTTCAGACCGGCCAGAACACGCATTCAAGTTATTATCGCTGCTGGGGGAAATAGGTATTAAACCATTCAAGTGATTATAGGGTGTAGGGTACAAG